GTATATATATATATATATATATATATATATATATATATATATATTAATTGTTGTTTAGAATGATTATAATATAAAAAAATAATGTGTTATTCATGGCATAGTTATAAATGTATGTCACCACCTTTATTATAAAATAAATATCTATTTTTTCCTCTTGAAAAACATTTGTTATATAGACTCTATTTAGTTGACATTACTTAAAAAATATATTTTCAATTATAATTTTTTGAATATATGCTTGATTACTATATTTTACTAAATTTGTATTACAAATAATTAAGTATAATCTTGAATAGATAAAATAATCATTTGTAGTTAGTATTAATCAGGGAAGGGTAGAGGAGGGAGTGTAGGTTATGTATATGTAGAACATGATTTATATGGTATAGTAACGAAAAAATATTAATGTGTAAAAATAAAATTACAAATTCTTTTTTAACAAAAGAGTACATTTTTTAAAATTACTATACATATTTATTTTTAAAAATAAATCAAATGCTATTCACCCACAAAAATATATATATACAAAAACATTTTTTATTTCCTTCGACAACCATATTTTTAATAGTTTTAAGGAATTTGGAGAAGAGCAAAAAGTTAATTTTGTTTTGGAGGAGAAAATATTAAAGAAATAAATGCAATAATTAAAATAAAAATATTATATACTTTTTATTTTTCAAGCGAATTTTTTCATAGTCATTTAACATTATTCAATATTTTAATAGAATCAATAGAGAACTTGCCAAACATACCATCTCTTTCCTAAAAAATAATTAAAAAAGTCTGTTTCCAATTTTTAAGTAGACTTTGGATTCTTTTTTTTTCTTATTATTATTATCCCTTCGTTCAATGATAGTTGTCTAACAATATTTATCTATTTGATAAAATCAATAAATAATCGTAGCTACTTTCTGATTTACCTCTGGTATTAATTATAATTATTTTTCTATTTTATTTTTTTAGATATTTTACTTAGTTATATTCTGACAATGACATAATATAATTATTATTCTATTTATAATTTCTCGATATACATAAAGTTAATAGTGAATAAGTATTACAGAGTAATGCTCACTCTAACATTGTTAAAGTAAATACTTTAAAAGTTAGCAGTCTTTTCTTATAAAAAGGTAGGATAAAGATAAAAGTAAAATTATTATATAAGTAGTATAGATAAATAAGAAAAAAATAATAAGATAATAATACGATAAACACTAAATAGATTATTACATAAAATGAGATTTTTCGTTATTACTTAGTAATGAATTTAAATTATATAATACACTAAATTTAAGTAATAGTCTGAAGAAATATTATATTTAAACTAACAATACACTACAATACGTAACAAGCCAGGTTGCTTCATAGAAGCCCCAAAAGAACTTGTGGATGAGAAACACCCTTTGCTCTTCAAGCCATATGAAATGCTTGGATTATGTTGTTGCAAACCCTGGCACTGCTAGTGTTTTCGAAGACTTATTGTGGTGTTTGATATGACAAATATGAATTTTTGAAGAACGTTCTTATCGGAGTACTGTTAGTATATACGATATTTCTAATAAAAAATCATCGAAAAATTCTTCAGCAAGCCATAATGTCGTTTGAAATTCGTGTTTTATTTCCAGTGTGTGTTTTATGTTTGAAGTGTTGTCGTTCTTTAGCTTTTGCGTTCTATGTTTTATGTATGATGAAATAAAAAAACGTGAATTTCTGATGAATGTTCCTATCCGAATACCATTAGTAGATATGGGATTTCTGACAGAATATTTGTCAAAATTCGTATTTTTTTAAATAGTGTGTATCTTATGTTTGAATTGTTGCAGTTAGTGGCATTCTACGTATTATGTGTGTGTAATTCCAATGGGAATTCATGTTTTGTTTGTGTTTTTATGCATATAATGAAATTTTAAATGAACAATTTATTCATAGTACTATCATTAGTTTAGTTTGCTACAAATAGAGGAATTTTGTCTAATTTTCTAATTATGATTTTTTAAAAGTTTTTTATTATTCTTCTTCTCAAAAAATCTTAAGTATGATTGCATCAGTTGATTAAGTTTGAATTCAACGAAAATTGAGGTACCACACAAGGAAGAATTAGTGAACAAATTGTAGCAAATCATTCACCAATTCACACTTAAATTTTCCTCAAACGATTTTCATCACATTACATACATCAATATTATTGTATCATTTTAGAACATATTACTAATTAGCATGAGATATACATGCACTACACGTGTTCGAGAACTTATATAACTAAAAGTGTAAAGTTGGATTACCATTTTACCCCTACAGTAAATATTTTTCTTTTATAAAATATCGACTAATTAATAAATATTAATCTTATCATATTACATTATATTACTCATATTATTATGATGTCCCTTTATGTAATGACCCTGAAGATCATTTTTGGAAGTTTCTAAATTATTACCATTTTACACTCAATATCGTTTTCCCGAGTTGTGTTAGATTAATTTTTGAGGTTAAATTGGAAATTGGATCGAAAAATTTAGATTTTTGGAAGCTTTTAAGTTGAAACTATTGACTTAAGTCAATATTTAGTGTTATGAGTGTCGTAATCGAATTCTGTTAGTTCCATCAGCTCAAGAACATGACTTTTGGCCTCATGGTAATCCTGATTTCTGGTATATCTACTCTTTTTTTTAAAAAATTAATTATTTTGTGCATTGATTTAAGTTGCGGAGTAGCGATAAAGTTATTTTTATCATGGGATCAATTATATTTTTGCAGTAATTTGGTAAAATCTTACTCAAATCAAATTAGATGAAATGTTGAAAAGGATGATTTTGGAGAATTTGAGATTAAAAAAATCATATTGATGAATTGTTGGATCCTTATTATATGAGATTTAGATTTACACATTACAAGGGATCATCAATTATTAATGGAAATCATGAAAAAAAATATTAAACATTATGGATTGAATGGCTACATAGATGGTAACTTCTTGACTTTTATATCACAAAATCAAGTTAATGGTTTGCAAATCAACAATAATGGAGAGTAGATTGATGTCAATATTTCATCAAATTCTTATGTTGTTTTGTCTGGTAATTCATTCAAAGCAAATCTTATTATTTTGTTGAAATCAGTGTTACTCGAACTCTTCAAAGATATTATTGTTATTGGAACTATGTACACATTTAATATTTTCATGCAAAACTAAAAAAAATGAATTTTAATATTTGTTGGAGCCTATGCTTTTCAAATTTCTAAAAATGGTGGATCATGATTGGTAATAACAAAAATAATAAAATATATACATCAAAATAAAAATTCAAAATATTTGTTGGAGCCTATGCTTTTCAAATTTCTAAAATGTATTCGTCAAAATGATATAATATAATACAATACGTTATGAAACCATGAGCAACAGCCATTCAAATAAAAATTCAAAATATTCAAACCGCTCATATGTTTCATTCATCAAAACAAACATAGTACAACACAACACAACACAATACAATACAATACAATGCAATACAACACAATGCAATACAATATATGTAATAACCATCCAAATATAAATACAAAATATTCAGTCAGATACATTTTATTCATCAAAACAATAATTTTTAAAACTACTAAATTTTTAAAGACCACAATAATTCTTAACACCAGATCCATCTTTAGCACCTAACATAATATATTTTAAAAATTCAGGCAACATAAAAGGCTTGAACATTAAAGGGTGTTCTTCATCCACCAATTCTTTTGGAGCCTTCAAAGTATAATCTGGATTTGGGATGGAAAATAATTGAATAGAGATTCTATCTTTGTCTCCTTTTGTTACAACCTTGTGTTGAGCAGATGTTAATCTACCATTTGTCCATGCCTGTACAAATTCACATTGTCAACACATGAAAAGTAATACATAAACATTACCCTTAGTTTGGTGTTAGCTGACAACTGTAATTTTTAATTTTGGGGTAGATCCTTAAACTTGTATAAAATTAAATAAATAAACACATTCATTCTACATGACAAATTTGTGTCCTACGTGGCGTCCTATATGTATTATGTCATGTAGGACAGCGTGTCTACTTGTGCACACTCAAAGTTGAAGGGCATAGTTGACCGCTGAAACCAAGTTAAGGGTCATATTTATGTATTATGACTAAAAAGTAAGTATAACAATTTATTTGCTTGATTAAATAATACATAAATATGCTTTTAAGTTGGTTTCAAATCACATTTATGTCCTTCAACTTTGGTTGTGCAAAAATACACATAAATAAAGAGTTTAGCTGTATTTTTGACACTAATAATAAAAAATAAATAATAACTTACCATGAAAACATCCGCTGATAAAACAATATAGGAATTTGGTGAAGTATGATTGAGCTCAATCCACTCTCCATTTTTATAGAGAACTTGCAATCCATTTTGATTTTGTTTAATTATGGTCAAGTAAGTACTATCTGTGTGGGAAGGTAATGCTGCTTCATTCTCATTTTCACCTTTAATTACCTTGTAATTAGTAAATCTTGACATAAAAACATTGGAATTCAAGAATTCATCAATGTAATTGTTTAGCCCAAGACTCTCCAAAACCATCCTTTTCACCATTTCATTCAATTCCATAAGTTGCTTGAAGTAGGACTTTGCCACATTGCTGCCAAATTAAAACATACAAAACTTATGTAAATTTTTCTATCATTTGAAAATATTACAAAAATATCTATTCACTCCCTATTCATGGATACACCACTTTATGCAATGTATCGGGACATACGTGATGTATCAGAATGTTGAGTGATATATGGGGATATACGCAATGTATCGGGACATTTTGAGATGTATCTGACTTACAACAAATTTAAGGAACTTGTATATTTTGAAAGAAAGTAGGGATATTATGTAATTAGTTCTTTAACACTATAAGATTTCAGTAAATTTTCCAAATATTTTAGGTCAAATTCTGTGAGATGTGAGCCCATTAGGTTTACTTTAGTTTTTTTAGCCCCTCATCTTTTTTAAAATTTGATATGCCGCAAATGTGAATCATTTAAAGCAAATTATATATATATATATATATATATATAAACTCATTATATGATTAACATAACATGTAACAAGACTTTGCTCTAATTTCCACTAACTAAAAATATAGCAAATTACTTAAATACAAAGCTTATTTTTATCATATTTTTCAAAATTTTCTATCATTTGAAAAAATTACAAAAATATCTACTCACACCTATTCATAGATACACCACTTTACATAATGTATCGGGACATACGTGATATATCAGGATGTTGAGCGATGTATCGGGATGTATGCAATGTATCGGAATATTGAGTGATGTATCGGGACGTGCGCGATGTATTGAGACATACATGATGTATCGGGACGTTAAGTGATATATCCATAACTGAGATGCAATATATCCAGATGTTAGGGGATGTATTCGAAATTGAGACGCGATGTATCTGAAGGTTTTGGGATGTATGGGATTTCATCAAATTTAATAAATTTTTGTAATTTGAAAGGAAACACAAATATTATGTAATTAGCTCTTAACACCGTAAGATTTGATTAAGATTCCCAATATTTTAGGTCAAATTATGTGAAATGTGAGCCCATTAGGTTTACTTTAGCTTTTTTAGCCCCTCAAGGCCTCATCTTCTTTATGTTATGTTGCTTCTTTGTTCTTAGTCTTGCCTCCTCTTTTCCTTCTTTAAAATTTAATATTCCGCAAATGTGAATCATTCGAAGCAAATTATATATCAAAAAACTTAATATATGATTAAATATAACATATAACAAGACATTTTGCTCTAAGTTCCACTTACTTACTAACAATATAGAGAATTAGATATCAAGCAAATTATTTTATTCTGATAATTTATTAATTTTTTTAGATTTATTTTACTTGTTATCTGATTAAATATAAAATATGTTTACTTTTAAAAAGTATGTCAGTAGTGGATCCACTTAATAACAATAATGACTTTGCTCTAAATTCCTCCATATATTTCACCTTTGAATATATGGTGGAGGTTTGAAGAGTAAGTAATTATTATGTGCAATCATGTGTTTGTATTAATTTTCCTCGTTTTTGTCTTGCGAAGGTTTAGGCTTATTAATATCGATTATTAATTATATTTATATAGTTTTATCATATGTTATTTATTGAAAATGAGTTATTATACTATTTTGATGTTGAATATACTATTAGATACAACTGCTCACATGAATAGGTTCATATGGTGAGGCTAATGTTCATATTTTATAGAGTAAAATTGACATTAATTGGCTAAATGCCATTTGAAGAATACTTAAGATATTATCAAAGAGAAAAAAAAAAAGAAACAAGAAAGACTTCAAAGTTTCTTAAAGGTACATTTTATTAATAAGGGGGACAATGAAGAGCAACTTCCTATCACTTTCAAAAATAGTACTACTATTCAATGGGAACATTATTTTAATCGCTTCTATTTTCGTATACATCATTTTACGTAATGTATTAATGTATCGGGACGTTGAGATGTATTCGAAATCAAAATGTGATATATCGATAGGGATGTCAATGGTACGATTCGGTCGTTTATTTTTTAAAAAAAATATGAATTCTAATCTTTTTGGGTATTTTATAATCTATAACCAAGTTTTGATTTATTAAAATCAAACCAATAATATTTGTTTCTCTTCGGTATTTGTATGAATCAGTTCTTTTTAATTTTTTTACTTTTAAAATATCACCTCACAATATAGTACTATTAAAACATATATTTCACAAATAAGTTCTTGAAGAATAACTTTAATTCTTCACCAAGAAGACAAGAACGTATATTCTTGTTGTCGTATTGTTTGATCTAAAATATTTAATAGGAGTGTTTGCATAGATTTTATTGTATCGTTTGACAAAACATCTATTACAATATGTTTTAATTGTAAACTTAATTAAGTAAAGACTTATTAAAGAGCAAAGTCTCAAAGCCCTCTAGTGACTAGAGGCCTAGAACCTATGTTATATTTATATTTGAAAAATATTATAAAAATATATTTCTATTATTTTAATTTAACATATTGTAAAGGTATAAAATATATTTACATACATGTAAGGTTATTCAGTTCAATTAAGGAATCTTTCAGTTTTTTTAAATAAATTCAAAAGAACATCCCAATCGTTCGGGATGGTTATAAAGTTAAATAATAGTCCATGATTTTATTGAAAAAATAAGGGAAAATGCACAAGTGCCCCCTCAACCTGTGTACGAAATCCCAGAGACACACTTATACTATACTAAGGTCCTATTACCCCCCTGAACTATTTTATAAGTAATTTTTTGCCCCTTTTCAGCCTACGTGGCACTAGCTTGTGCATTATCCCAAAGAATAACATAAATTGATTTGTTTTGGTTAGGTACTCCCTCTGTCCCAATTTATACGACTCACTTTTCTTTTTAGCGGCCAATTTCGAAAAGAATGAACCATTTTTATATTTTGTAATAGTAAACATCTAAAAATGTCAATTTTACCCTTGATAAAATAATTTATAATCATACAAATACCTATGGTTTATTTCAAACCACAAGTTCTAAAAGTCTTTCTTAAATTCTGTGTGAAATCATATATACTATATCACATCAATTGAAACGAAAAAAATTATCAACTTTTATCACCACAAAAAAAAAGTATGCGTCATATCATGAGATGTACCATTACTAGCAAGTTAGCCATCCAATTCTATTTTTTAAGCACATGCATTCATCAATTTGTCAATATATTTTTTTTAGTTATTCAAACTATGTTGTGAATCTAGTCGAGAAGTATTTCAATTAAACACTTTTGTATTAGCACTGTTATTTGATAATTCATTTAGTTACGAGCTATTTAGTGATTGATTAACAACTAAGTATCGATAAATTTTATAGCTAATTTCATAGTTTCTAGTAGTGTCTACTTAATGGATGTTTGAGAACATGCATGCACACACTTTTTTTTTCTTTAAATTTTGTTCTAAAGGTGTTTAGATATGTCTTATCATGTGTTCAGATGTCAACTTAAACATACAGTAATCATAGTATATTAAATAAAATTCATTGATAAATATTGATTAATGTATAAAATATTTCTAATATAATTTAAGCTAGTTTTATCATTTTAAAAATATTTATTCTAAACGTCATATTCAAAATTGATAAACCATAATACTATGGACAGACTAGAAAAAAAGGCATGTACAATATCATGTATTAACTGACTTAAGGAAATCAAAATAACATGTGAAAAACAAGTCACACTGAATAATCATGTTAATATTTTATTATTAGATGAGATACATATCACCAGAAAAGATCGTTGACTTAGCACAAGAAAATTGATAAAATTAAATTTACTTGTTCCGGGGCTCGTTTTGATCTTCAAAATGGGTTGTTTTAACCGCTAAGGCCAACTAGATCCATAACTAAAGTCTTAACGGACGTCCACAAAAAAATTCAGCAAAAAATATGTCATAATTCTGGATCACAAAAAAAAGATTGTGAACTAAAGTATTGATAAAGTGAGGAGTTTGCCTGCTCTAGGGCTCTTTTGAGGCCTTTTTGGCCATTACGACCAACCGGCTCCATATATAACATATTAAAGGATGTCCACAAAAAAATTGGACAAAAAAGAAGTCATAATTTCGAATCACCAAAAATTCAAGTACAATAGTACACGAAAATCGACAAAAATGATTTAACTATTCCGTGCTTGTTTGACCTTGAAATTAGACCGTTTTTGCTGTTGGGGTCAACTGGCTCCATATCTAACATCTTAACAGGCATCCACGAAAAATTGGTTTTACGTGCTCTGGCTCGTTGCACCTTCAAAATTGGCTGTTTTGCTGCCAGGTCCAACTTGATCCATAACTAACGTTTTAAAACGTCTACAAAAAAATATGGGCAAAAAAGACGTTGAAATTCTGGATCACCAAAAAAGATCGTGGACTATAGCACATGAAAATTGACAAAATAAGAGGTTTACCTGCTTTGGGGCTCGTTTGACCTTTAAAATGGGCCGTCAGGGCAAACTAGCTCCATAGATAACATCTTAACGGAGATCCATGAAAAATTTGGCAAAAATCCATGAAAATCAGCAAAATTGGATTTACCTACTTCGGAACTCGTTTGACCTTGAAAATGGGTCATTTTGGCCGTCAGGGCCAACTGACTCCATAGCTAACGTCTTAATGGACGACACATAAAATTTGGGCAAAAAATACATCAGAATTCTTGATTACCAAAAATTCATGGACTATAGCACACGAAAATTGGCAAAATAGGGGGTTTACTTGTTCTTGGCCTCGTTTGACCTTCAAAATGGGCCATTTTGGCCGTCAGGGCCAACTAAATCCATAAATAACTAGTTAACGGACGTCCACAAAATATTTGTACACAAAAAGACGTCGAAATTCTGGATCACCAAAAAAAATTGTGAACTATATAGCACATGAAAATTGACAAAATAAGGGGTTTACGTGCTCCGGGGCTCGTTTGACCTTTACAATTGATCGTTTTGACCGTCAAGACCAACTGGCTCCATAGATAACGTCTTAACGGACGTCCACGAAAAATTTGGGCAAAAACTACATCGGACTTTTGGATCACTAAAAATCCATGGACTATAGTACACGAAAATCAG